CGCAGACGTGCTTGACCGCATGTCAGGATTGCGGATTGCTGGAGACGGGCCCTGAGGAGCGCGAAACTCGCAAAACGGAGTGATCCACGAGTGCCAAGCAGAGTGCAAGGGCTTGTAGGCATGCACCATGCGACGCAGGCGCTAGCCAATTCCATCAGGTGAGCAGCGCCCAAAACCCCCGCGATGATCTTTATCTAAACGGTTTCCTAAATAGCCGCGAAAGGAACACCCTGCATCGCGAAACCTCGCGCAAGCGTTTTTCGGAAGCTCGGTCCGCGAAAGCTCCGCGAAAGGGCTACTTGTGCGTTCAGGCGGCGGTTGGGGCAGGCAGCGTGCGAAAAGAGCAAGCGTTGACCGTGCAAAAGACATTTGCTCATCGGAGTGCGCAGGCTGTTTGCCAGTTTCGGAGAAAAACAAAGACAAAAAACACTGGTGTTTCATGCCGTCCACTTGAAACCTGTGCGCCCCTATTCGAGCACCAGAGAGTCATTTGGATGTTAGGTACTGACAGTTACTCAAGGTTTTTGCTTTGGATGTTAGGGGGGGCTCTTGCGGCCTCAGCAACGCTATCCATGTCATTCATGCGCCCTCCCACCCACCCCCGACCCACGTCGGAAGTACCGGAGCAGACACTGAAGAGCTAAATGAGATGAGCAGAATACTTGCGCTCGGCACGACAAGGAGCTTTCAAGGGAACAGCAAAAGATCAGCAGTTCGCAGTTGTAGAAGGCGTATCTGTTCGAACTGTTCGCGTTGCTGTTCGCGTTGCTGTTCGCGAAGCTGTCTGCGCCTTCTGTTCAGGCAGCCTACGTGCAGCTGTGCTTCGTCTTCATCCCCTTCTTCGACAACTGCGCCTACGCTTGGAATTCGGCGTACAACACGCTGATCCACCACTACTACGAGGAGTACCGCAGCTGGCACTGGAAGCTTGCGGGAGCCATGGTGCGGTTGCAAAGCAAGGTCCGCAGGGTCGTCTCCAGGATGGAGTGGGGAACTTGGCTCCGCTCTGATTTCAGTCCTCTCAGCCCCTTCCCACCCTTTTGGCCGCTATTCGCCTTGAACTTGCAATTTCCCTCGGCAGACTATGCTTCTGCGTACTTCGCCGAGGGCCCCATCGAGAAGCATTGGCATGGAAGGCATCACTGGACCACTGAAAAGCATTTCGGCTACGGGACATACGACAGCGTCTCCAACTTAGTCTGGGACTCCTCCTCGGAGGAACAGGAACAGGTTCTCGTGCAATTTTTAGAGGAATACCTCAAATTGCAGGCGGGGCAGATTCAATCAACTTCCATTTTGAGCCTCGTTGCTGAGAAAAAGGATAAAAAGGTAGAAAGACAGCTTTTAGGGAGGCTAGGGAGCCTTACACTGTGCAGGCAGAGCGAATCAGCGAAAGGTTGTTTTGCAGACAAGCGCATGCAGGATCTTGAGAGTGCCTCCCATATAGTAGGTTTGCCGCAACTTTTGGATCTTGTGCCCCATACTTTTTTGAGTTTACCAGCCCCTAGCGCAGATGTGGGGAATGTGCAAGAGGCCGGCTTTTGTGGGTTTCGCGGGTTTCGCTTTGGCCCTGCACACCGGATTCTTCGCTTGGCTGTGGAGCTGTCAGCTGCGAGCTTTCCCGGGCTATTGGGGGAAGTATCCGACTTCAGCGAAGCTCTGGCTCTCTCTTGCGGCGCACTGCGAGACCTTGAGGCGGTTGTGGGGGCTTCTGACGAGCCCCTGTAGGAGGTTGCCTGATTTCTACGTGGTTGGTTGTCCAAAGTGCGGAACTTCTGCCATTTACCACTACCTCACGCTTCATCCGCGCATCGTGAAGCCCGCCTACAAAGAATCACGATTCATTTGGGGGAGGATCGGCTTGCGCCTCTCAGCCTTGCGGTATCGGTCGCTCTTCCCAACTTGGTTGCAGTGCCCTCCTGGGTATCTCACCTTCGACGCAGACCCCACTGCCGCGGTCGCGCCAAAGTTCGCTTCGGCCTTGTTTCGCCGGCTGACACCGAAAGCCAAAATCATAGTGGCCTACCGGGAACCAGTGGAGGCTGCATGGTCCATGTATCAGTTTCGTAGCCGCATCAAAGGGCGCTTTGACTTTGGGTGGACCTTTCAGCAAATCCACAGCTTGGAGATGAAGTTGGCGCGATCCTCGTGCTGGGCAGAGATGGATGCCCTGGCCGACACGTTGGATGAAAGCGACGCGAGCTCCGACGTGAGCGTAAGGATCACATCGGACATGGCCTTCCATGGCGTGAACTCCTCAATGCTGCGGCCCCACAGGCTTGCGGACGTTGTGACCGAGTTTGAGTCTCGCTTCGGCCGCAGCAACCTGCTCCTGGTCCCCTTCACTGTGCCCCAGCGAGAGAGAAAGAGAGAGAGCTTTGCGAGTGTTTGCTTTGCCTTTGAGCTTTTGAAGTTTGAGTCTCAGGCCATCGTGTCCGACATGGAGAACACCATGCGCCGCATCTTCGACTTTGTTGGGCTGGACGCAGAGAGAGTCGAGCTTCCGCCGCTCAAGGTCCAGCCGGAAGACGTCATGGATATGTTGGTGATGTCACCAGCCTCTTCGACGCAAGGAAGAATGCATAGCTTCTGGGGAGCGAATCAAACGCTCGTAAGGCGAAGAATGGATGCCAAGCTTGTCCGGAGGAAGCCAAGAGACTCTTGACTGCTTATTATGGTGAGCAGAAGCGCAAGTTTACGGATCTGACAGGTGACACTTTCGGCGTCCCTGCTCTAGCTCAGTCAGCCTAAGTCAGGACACAGTTGGAGTTCTCGGCTTCGGCTGATTATGTTTGCCGCGAGCACCTGCTTAAGACAGGCATCTTGCCTCCTGCCGTAGGTGCAGAGGCGAAATGACCTTGTGTCTGGTGCAAAATCCTTCTTTTGTGCAGGCTGCCTAGAGCGCCTGGCGACTTGGGCGACTTGTTCGTTGACCTTAGCTCCAGGAACTTGTGACATTTTGAAGAGGAATCAGATGTATCATTCATGGCACTCCGGGAGGAAGCTCCCCTGCTGCCGTGGACTCACAAATAGCCAACAAACGTGGGATGGGCCCTGCCAAATGAAAAAAACATGGTGTGGTGTGAGGAGGACGGTGTGCTGAGACGTTCCCTGGGCTGGCTAAATACTTGAACTTACACACTTAACATAATTCCCAACCGAGTTAAGCTAGGTAACTTTACACAATATCTTACATGCCAACACCACAGGCAGGCATTGCACACTTGTCCAAACCCGAAAATCAAGACAATTTCCCAAGTGATGCCTTGTAAAGACTGTCTCGAACGCCAAGCAATCCCGAAAAAAATTGAATTCAACATCTTCTGGCTCATATAACCCATGTTTGGCATCCTGGATTTGGTCATCAAGTCCATGCTGAATTACCATGTTTCTCTTGCAGCATCTACGAACAGGTACCGGCAGAATTCACTTTTCATGTAGCAATTGAAGAATTGCTAGAAGGCGTCGAAGATAACCTTGCAAACTGAACGTGGGTTTTCTCCGCACACAGTCTATCAAACAAACCTTTCAGCAGATGATAGATGCCATGCTCAATATGGCCAAGAGACCAGGTTGCAAACACAGTCACTTTTTTTGGGACTCTAGCTCACTTCCTCAGGTGGCAGGGAACTAGAATTCCAATTACACGCCTGGTTCAACTGAAGCAATGATGTCACCGGTTCATATGAACATGGGCTGTCCTGCTCTTGGCAAAAAGCACAGTTGGCAGAGCCTGCCCTGCACTGAAATGTGAGCCCAGATTTCCCCATTTCTGCTCACCATTTGTAGCCCTGCAATGCTTCCCTCACCTCCAGCAACTTGGGTGCAGGACGAAAACTCAAGGAAAGCTCCAAGGCCTGAACGAAAAGCAGGCAACACCTTCATACAACCTCTCAGAACTCTCCCGTGCAAAATGTTCCTGGTAGCTTGTTGTGCTTTGCACAAAGCAACCACTGCACCTTCCTGGTGACTTCCTGGTGATATGCTGTTCCCAGCCAGCTTTGAACATCGAAGAAACGCATTGGCCTGCTGCTTGTTTACGCTGTGGCAGAGGTCACACCTGCATGCTCCCGGTTGGCAGCAAGGAGCAGCTCAGCTATACAGCTCATCCGCAGGAAAGCTGTGGTTGCATCCTGCAAAGCTTCACGGGCGCAGGTTCTGACATAGAACGCTAGAGACTTCAACCAAATTTCTCAGAGGCAGCGCCTTTCAGCTTGGCTTCTTGGCAGGAGTCTACCAATTTGAGCCCTACAGGCAGCACAGAGTACCCAACCGTGTTGGCACGAGCAGCCTCGCCATGAAAAGCAGGCATGCTGAAATGCCCAGTGTGCCATTGATCCGTGTGCATTGCATGAGTTCTGATGGGCTGGAATTCTGCCTCTGAAATAAAACCGGCATTGCAGAAGGTCCAGCCAAAAGCTTTCTGAAACACGTTTCTAAAACAGCAACTTTGGAGCCCCCATGCGGTATCATGCCCCACACAAAGCTTTCATGCATGTAGCCATCCATGCCAAAGCTGTGACAAACTCTCATGCTGGACATGAAAGTCAGCAACTAATTCCTCTCCATAACAACACGTTTGAACCTTGTCTAGTTCAGCTAATCTCTATGCTAAAGTTCATAAATCTAAGTTTAACTATGTTGGTATTTAAGTTTATACAACTTTTACCAGCAATATACATGTAGCATGCGGTTGCACGTGAGTTAAAACCCTGTTGCTAAACTTGCTCATAGTTTTAAAGACTTAAACATACTTAGCAACCCGGGGAACATCTAAGTGAGGACGCTGGCTGGCTGGCGCGGTGCTTTGTGGAGTGCGGACGTGAGTTTGTGCTTTGCACTCGAATCCTGAAGCTGCAGGCTCCAGTCCTAGTCCTAGGTCTTGGGCACTATGTTGTTTGCTCAGATCATTGGCGCTCTTATGACTGTTGGCCAGGATGCCAGGCTGCCTGGAAGACACTTAGAGCCTGAACGGGGCATGCAAAGCGCAAGCGAGGGCTTGGGGGAGAAAGGCCTCAAATCGTTGATGCCCTTGAGAGCATTTGAGAGCCATGAGCATGGCCCGCCGCGCTTTGGCGTGCTGCCTCCTCCTGGCAAAACCAGCGGCACATCTCAAATTGCCCAACTTAACGTGAAAACACGCCCCTACCCCCGTTCCGCACCCTCTCAAGCCTAGGACCGCTGTGGAGCTGAGTGCGCCGTAGACCTGCTGCAGCGGAAGCTGGACCTTGAGCTCTCAGCTCCTTCGGTGCCTCACGTGCTGATGATCGTGGCGGACGACCTGGGCTGGGCCGACCTGAGGTCCAGGCGGCGTGCCGAGACGGCCCAGGAGGCCCAGGGCTGGGCGGAGACCCACACGCCGAACCTGGACAAGCTGCGTGCAGAGGGCGTGTCGTTGGAGCGGCACTACACCACGAGCAGCTCCCCCCCTTCGAGGTGTTCCTTATGGAGCGGCCGCTTGCCCACGCACGTCACGCACGGAGACTTGTCGGTGAACCACCAGATGCTGTGGAACAAGAAGGACAACAACTCCGGCTTTGATGGCATCCCCCGTGGCATGACGGGCTTAGGCACAAAACTCAAAGAGGCAGGGTACGAAACCCACTATGTTGGCAAATGGGATGCTGGCTGGGCAACTCCAGAACACACCCCTCTTGGCCGGGGATTTGACTCCTTCCTGGGATTCTTGCAGGCTGAGAATGACTACTGGTCCAAAGACAGAGGGCCGTTGAAGTACCTTCTGGACATATGTCTCAATAAGTTCAAGGACTTCTCCTTCTACAATGCCACTTACCGAGGAGGGGTGACCGCACAAATGTCCACGGAGCTAGGTTGCAACGCCACGCTCATGAGGGGCAAACCCTTTACCCCGATGGGCTGTGACATGGATAATCGCAGCGAGTGCCTTCCGGAGACTTGCTATGAAGAGGCCATGTTCCTCCAGCATGCAAAGCGGATTGTACAGAACCACGACAAAACCAAGCCCTTGTTCTTGACGTTTGCGCATCACTTGCCACACTCCCCTGTGAGCGTGCCCTGGTCCTACATGAAGAAGCTGGAGGAGCTGGTGGTGGCGACTGGCGTGCCGCACACAGTGCCCTGGACGACAAAGCGGAAGATCCACGCTGCAAGCCTTCTTTATTTGGATGCAATGGTCGGAGATCTCGTCCAGACCTTCCAGGAGTCGTCGTAGAGCATGAATCTAACACTTGCCTTTCAACCACGCGATTTGAAATTGCCTTCAACCTGCCTTGAACCTGCCTGGCCCCCTCAAACCTGAACCCAGCACGCTGTTCTCCGAGACCAGAAGCAGTCACAACCCTGAAACTGCGAAAATCCAGCTCAAGTAGTTGCCATCCTGACAAGGGACTGCTTCCAGGAGCAAGGCATGTACGAGAACACGCTGCTGGTCTTCCTGTCTGACAACGGCGCTGCAGCGAATCTGCGTCAGAGCGCCCACAACTACCCGCTGAAAGGGGGGAAGTACGCCGACTGGGAGGGCGGCCTGCGAACCAACGCCTTCATCTCTGGCGGTTTCGTCCCTCCTGAGCACCGCGGCAAGCAGTTTTCTGGGATCTTCCACATCGCCGACTGGTACGCCACCCTTTGCGATCTGGCAGGCGTCGACCACGTGGACCACAAGTCCGCTGAGGCGAACAAGTACCTGGAGCAGCAGGGCCTCCCAGTTATGCCACCCGTGGACAGCCGGCCGCAGTGGCGGCACTTGTTGGATGGCAGCAATGCGCGGCCGGATCCGCTCCAGTTGAGTGAGAAGACGGTGCTCAGGTGGCCCTACAAGCTGGTGACGGGCTCTCACAAAGGGAGCTTCTGGCCAGGGCCAGTGTGGCCCAATTGCAGTACCACCGACCCAGTGGAAGCGAACCTAGATGCTTTTGGCCGGGATGAGCCTGTGTTCAACGAGTCAGAGATGCGCAGGAGAACCTTCGTCGAAGACTGCGGCGCGGGGTGCCTCTTCGACGTGGATCGCGACCCCCGGGAGCTCACAAACCTTGCAACAGACCCAAACCACTCCGCTCTGCTTGCAGCGATGCAGGACGAGCTCACGGCCCTCAACGCGAAGAACCTCCAGGCCAGAAAGGAGGGCACACACACACACACCCATCCACCCACCCACCCACCCACCCACCCACCCACCCACCCACCCACCCACCCACGCACGCACGCACGCACGCACGCGCGCACGCGCGCACGTGCGCACGCGCGCACGCGCGTCCGCGCGCGCACGCACACCCACACCCACACCCACACACACAGACACCCACACGCAGACACACACACACACACACACACACACACACACACACACACACACACACACACACACACACACACACACACACACACACACACACACACACACACACACACACAAACCAACACACACACACACACACACACACACACACACACACACACACACACACACACACACACACACACACACACACTCACACACAAACACTCACACACACACACACACACACACACACACACACACACACACACACACACACACACACACACACACACACACACACACACACACACACACACACACACACACACACACACACACACACACACACACACACACACACACGCACGAACACACGCAC